CTTGGATTGCCGTTTCTTCTGGGGGGTGGACTCGCGCACTGCGTGCGATAAAAGCGCGTGCGTGCACAACGCGCTGGCTGCGTTCGCCTCCCAGCGCGGCCTCGCCTCGGCCACGGTCTTCTTGGACATGGCCAAATACTACGAGCACATCTCGCACTTGGAGCTGTTGCATGCCACCCGGCACGCCGAGTTCGACGTCGGGCTCTTGCGGTGCCTGTGCTGCTGCTACCGCGCGCGCCGGCGCGCGGTGCTCCAGGGAGCTGTCAGCCGCGAGCTGGTCGTGAACGGCGGGGTCGTAGCTGGTTGCTCATGCGCCACGTCGCTTGCCCGCCTCATGTTCCTGGCGGCGCTGAAGCGCGCGGCGGCCTGCGCCCCCATCGTCTCCATCAAGAACGTGATCGACGATATCTCCCTCCACGGGGTCGGTGGGGAGAGTACGGTCACGCAGCAGCTGGTGAGGGGCTACGATTCGGTCAAGCAGGACGTGGCAGCTCTGGGCCTGCCGATCGCAGACCGCAAGACGGGTTTCCTCGCCAACTCCACGGCTCTCGCGGAGGCGCTCTGCGAGCGCTGGGACATCAGCATGGAGCAGAGATCGCACTCCCATCGCGACCTTGGGGGCGATGCGACGGCCGGGCGCCAGCGGCGCGTGGGCACGCAGAGTCAGCGGTTTGCAGAAGCTCAGTCTCGCGGCGCACGCCTTGAGCAGCTTCGCCGGGCAGGGGCGCCGATCGCGTCTGTCCACCGCGCTGGTCCAAGCGCTATGGCGCTGTGGGGCACCGCGATCCAGGGCGTGCCGAATGGCAAGCTCACAGGGCTACGGGCTGCGGCGCTCCGTGCCGAGGGGCGCCTCCCTCGAGGGGCCTCCCTTGGGCTAGCCATGGCCAGCTGGCGCGCCGGCTGGAGGCGCGACCCGTTCGTGTTAGTCACGGCGCTGGCCATCCAGACGTACGCCGAAATGGTTTGGAACGGCGTTTTCCAGCGGTCCCTGCTGCAGGTGCTATTGGATGGCGCTCGGCACCTGGCCGCGCAGCGTTTCCCTTGGGCGCGATGCAGCAACCCGATCGCGGCGCTGGTGCTCACCCTGCAGCGCGTCGGCTGGAGCTTGGACGACCCGTTCACGCTGAGGGGCGAGAAGAGCGACCGCTGGGACCTCCAGGAGTTTTCGCCGGCCTTCTTCCGTCTCAAGGCGCAGGAAGCGGCCCGGCAAGCCTCCGACATTCACGCCGTGGGCCGCTTGGTCAGGCCTGGCCGCCACAGTTGGGTTGCGCCCGTCTTCTGGCGCCCCCTCAACGAGCTGCTGCACGCCCCCGCTGAGCGAGGCTGGAGCCTCCACCACAAGCGGGCTCTACGAGGCCTGCTTTGCGGCACGCATTGGTGCCAGGCCCGCCTCTGCCGAGAGGGGGAGGGGCTGGGGCTTTCCGACCTTTGCCAGTGCTGCCGCGGCTCTCCCGGCACCTTGCATCATAGATTTTTCCAGTGCCCAGCGCACCACGCCTGGAGGGCGGATAATCTTGACCCAGCGGTGCGCGATGCCGCCGCTCGAGTGCTGGAGGGCGGGGGGGAGGCCGGGGAACGTTTTGCACGAGTGCTCCTGCCTGATCCTGCCCTTTGTTTTCGGCTGCCGCCGCTGCCGCCTGGCGCGGAGCTCCGGGCAGACCGCTGGCCGCTGACCAGACTCGTGCTCGACGGCGGGCACATTTTCACCGATGGAGCTTGCTTCGACGCTGAATTCCCCACCTTGAGGGTGGCTGGTTGGGCCGTGGTTGCCTACGACGCCGATTTGTGTTGCTTGGGCTCTCTGCGCGGGATGGTGCCCCGAAATCTTTGCCCGTCCCAGTCCGCCGGGGACGGGGGGGACTATGCTGTCCTGATGGCGTCAAGGCACGCCGCCGGCCGCTACACGATGCATTCGGACTGTAGTGACACTGTCGCCTGCGGGCAAAACCTGGCGAGCGCCAGCGGGCCAGGCCAGCCCCGCGCCCACCTGTGGCGCCAGGCGGCTGCTGGCGATGCGCTCGAGGACGTGACCTTTTCTAAGGTCCTCGCGCACGCGACGAGGAACGACGTCGTGGAGGGGCGAATCGCGGCTTGGCAGCGCGACGGGAATCACGCGGCCGACGCCCTAGCAAAGGCTGGGGCGGCCGAAGGCCGGCTGGCCGAAGATGAGCGCGCTTTCCTGTTTGGTTGCCTCCATCCTGCGCGGCTCCTCACCCGATACACGGGGCGCGTGGAGGCCGTGCTGACTGAAGCCGGCACTCGCGACCATCAAGGCCTCGAGGCCCTCCGCACTGTTGAGCTCGAGGTGGAGGGGCGGTCGGGGTCTGAGGGCGAGATTGGGGGAACGCGAGGAGAATCGCGCGCCGATGCTGCAGGCGCTGGCTCGGCCCCGGCGGCGATAGCAGGCGCGGCCGCTCGTCTGGGCTCGGATCCCGAGACGCACGCTGACGCTCCGCCTCAGGTTAGTCCCTGGCGCGTGCGCGGGCACAGCCTCCTTGCTGCCCAGATTCGCGAGTGGCGATGCCCAGAGGGGGGGCCCCGGGGCGCGTCCTCAGCAATGCTAGTTTGCACGACTTGTTGGAGTCACGCCACGTGCCCTGGTCGGGGCCATGGGCTCTTAGCGCCCTGTCCGCCCAGGGACGGTGAGCCACCCCCGAGAGCAAAGAATGCACGCAGCCGCGTCGGCCGTGGGATGCACCCCCACTGGGCGTGGGATGCGGCCATCGACGAGGCATGCAGCCCGTCGGAGGCGGTACGGGCGTCCTGGGCCAGCCATTTCGGATTGGAAGGCGCCGCAGGGGGCCCTGTGGCCCGCGCCGCCGAGCCTCCCCTAGGCCCTCCTGTTCGGTGGGGCGCGCCGTGCCCAAGAGTGGCACTGTGCGATGCCTTACTGGCATTCGGGTTTCGCACGCGCGGCCAGGCTGAGCTTGGCCGCGAGGCGCAGCGGCTGGCCGCGGAGCGGGCCAGCCGGCTCGCAGCCACGAGTGCCATCGAGGAGGGATAGTTGCTGTGGACCTCCCTCTTCTCCTCCTCCTTCTGGAGTCGCGCACCTCCTCCTCCTCCTCCTCCTCCTCCTCCTCCTCCTCCTCCTCCTCCTCCTCCTCCTCCGCCTCCGCCTCCGCCTCCGCCTCCGCCTCGGCCGGGGGTCAGTTACTGTTCTGCTGGGTACCGTATCCTTGTGCTCGGCCCTACGCCGCGGGGGCATTGATAATGCCATGTACGCTTCACGGCTTGGTGCCAGCATGCCGGCTCGTCTTTTTAGGTCCCGCCCCGCGGCACGTTGCCCGGGGCCGTGGCGCTCAGCTACGCCCGTGACTCTAGAGCCACCTTAAGCTTCCAGGCGCGGGGATCGTGCAATGGGTGGAGTGGCGGGGCCGTGTGGTCCATAAGTCCCATGAGGCCTTCGTGCCTGTTCGCCCTGGGGTGCCGACCCAGGTGCACGAACCACACGTTGCGATCGTCGGGAAGGGCCTCGCAGGAAGGAGGTGAACCGACCGTCCCCCTACACACCGCCGGCGTGCTGGCGCAGCCCCCGTTGCGCTCTCGGCCAGGCCTGGCCCAGGCCCCCCGAGGACAAAGAAGGCGCGAGCTCGCAGCCAAGCTCGGCAGCGACTCCTCCTCCTCCTCCTCCTCCTCCTCCTCCTCCTCCTCCTCCTCCTCCTCCTCCTCCTCCTCCTCCTCCTCCTCGTATGAGGAGCAAGTCGCGGGGCGACATGGCGCGGGCCTGTACCTCGACCGTGTTGCGTGACGCCCTCGCCGATGAGCGAGCGGCCTCCCTTGCGCGTGCGGAGGGAGGTCTTCCCGCGTGGAGGCGGAGGGCGGCCCGTGCGGCGCTGAGGCAGCACTCCCGCGTGAGGCAGTCCTCTCTCGCGGGTTCGCTTCTCTGTTCTCCATGGCTCCTCCTGCTCCTCCTGCTGCTCCTCCTGCGGCTCCTCCTGCTGCTCCTCCTCCTCCTCCTCCTCCTCCTCCTCCTCCTCCTCCTCCTCCTCCTCCTCCTCCCCTCCCCTCCTCGGCGCCAGACGGGGAGGGTGGGGGGCCATGGGAGGCCCGCATCGCGCGGCCGCCCCACCGCCCCAGCAGATCGCTCCGACAGATCGCTCCCCTCCCGTCCTCGTCGTCATCGTCGCCCGCTAATCTTTTCCCTTTTGAATAATTCCTCCCTGCCGCACCCCGAGGCCAGTCAGAAAGGCGGACCGGGCGTTTCGTTGTAGGCTTCGTACCGCACAGGATCCCGACGCTTAGAAAGTGGCAAGGGCTTCACACATCGAGGGCGGGTGGTGTTCAACATGTGGTTCTCGTATTAGCGCTGCGCACATCGCTTTGAAAACTTTTATCAGTTTCATGGATTTAGGGCGGGTGGTTTTCAACATGTGGCTCTCGCCTTAACGCCGTGCGCATTCGTCCTAACAACTTGCCAGAGCTTCACGGATTGAGGGCGGGTCGTTCTCAAAATGTGGCGCGCGCCTGAGCATCGCGCACATTCGTTTCAAAAGTCAGCAAGATCTTCACGAATTGAGGGCGGATAGTTTTCAACATGTGGCTCTCGCCTTAGCACCGCGCGCATTCGTTTGATCAAGGCGCACGACTTGCATTGGTTCTCATGGTTGACGTATCAGAAACGGCGTTTTGGCACGATTCGGGACCGTCAGGGCAAAACAGTTACTTACGTGGATTCGCGATGATGAAGTCCCAACAGTGGTGTTCTGGAGCGAATCAGGATCGTCAAAACGCAACCGTCAAGTTGATTCGTGGCGTTGACGTCCTGGGGATGGTTCCAGGATGTTCAAAACGTTTGTCTTCCAACGAGGCACTTCCCTCCATGGAAACCAATCCCCGCAGGTGCCTACGAAGAGGGAGCTGGGAGGGAAGGTTTATTTCAACATCGTTGGTGGGTCTTGGGTTTGCACCGGTCTTCCTCCTCCTCCTCCTCCGTTTCCTCTTCCCCTTGCTGTTCATCGTCCTTCTGTTCCATAGGACCCCGGGTAAAGAGTGCACGGGAGATGTCGGCGAGCATCAATCACGTGCCGCGGCGCTGCTACACGCATCCTGGCGCGCGTGCATGCTGTCGCTCGTTTTCTGGCAGTCCCAGCGAGCGTGGCCAGTGTGGCGCACGCGTGCGCGCGTGGACCCGCCGTCTTCGCCATTTCCTCCTTCCCCGTCGTCCGCCTTGACCTTATGTCGTCACGTTCCGTCCCCCTCGCCGTCTTTGTAACGAGGACACGTCTCGCTCCAGTGGGGCAGGGGCATCTCCCACCTGCTGCTTGCGCTTCGCCGTCCGTCGAGACGGAAGCCTGGAGCCGACAAGTCTGCCATGGCGGCTTCGCTGTTCTTCCCATCCTCCGCCCCAGCCGCATGTATCTCCGACTCCCTCCCGCTATTCCCCTCGCCGCCCGCATGCCCCGCCAGTTCGTTTACTCCGCTCGGGCCAGACGCGGGGGAAGAGGTACATAAGAGTAAAGTACATGGGGCAGGCGGGTCGGAGTGGACGGTCCTCAGGAGAGGTGGCTTGCGCGACAAGGTGTCTAGAGCAGGATAAGGAAGAGGAGAGAAAAAGGAGTCGGGGAGGGCAAAAAGGAGCAGGAGAGAGGGCGGGAAGAGGAGGGGGAGGAGGAGGAGGAGGAGGAGGAGGAGGAGGAGGAATGCTAAGAGGAGGGAGGGCGCTGAGAGGGAAGGCGAGGAAGGAAAGGATACACTCATTCGCTGGAAAGCAGGGCACTGGGGGTGGAGAGTAAGGGGAAGTGAAGGAGATGGGTGGAAGGGACGGGGCAGGGGAGAGAATGGAGAGAGGCGGAGAGGAACAACCAGAGGGGGAGGCACGGCATGGCAGGAGGAGTGATGCTGGACGGGGAGGAGGGGGCACGTAGTCGAGAAGAGAGGAGAGGAGGAGCGGGCATGAAAGGCGAGGGGGCGAATGGCACGAGAGGAGCGGCGAGGAGCGCAGAGAAGGACAGGCCACCCCGCCCCCCTCCAACGCCCCGCTGCGGCCCGATGCGCCCTCGCCTCCCGCAGAGGCTGCTGTGGACCTTCGCCCACGGCATGGGCTCCGAGGCGCTCACCTGGGAGGCCATCGAGGCCGCCGCGGTGGTCGGCACCGTGGAGCCGCAGGTCGTCGCGGGCTCCAAGCCTCGCGGAGGGGCAGGAGGATAGGAGGAGAAGAAGAAGAAGAAGAAGAAGAAGATAGGAGGAGGAGGAGGAGGAGGAGGAGGAGGAGGAGGAGGAAGAGGACGACGACGAGGAGGAGGCGAGGGGGAGAAGCAGCAGGAGACATCAGCAGGAGGGCGACGTGAGAAGGATGAGAAGGAGGAGGAGGAGGAGGAGGAGGAGGAGGAGGAGGAGGCAGCGGACACTAGACGAGGAGGTGGGGCGCCCAGTGGGCGCGGCTGGGCGGGGGGGGGGTTGTCGGGGCCGGGCCTGCCCGCAGGTGCCCGTGGTGACCCGGCCAGAGTTCTTCAGGCGCCGACTCCCCCCCCCCACCCTCCGCGGTCCGTCGCGCCCCTCGCCCTGCCCCTTACCCCCCGTCGCCCTTCTTGGGCCGGCCCCCTCCATCCCACCCGCTCCCTCCGTCGCTCCGGGCCGGGCCTTCTCCCCCTCCCGTGGACGCCTCCAGCTTGCTGCGCCTCGCCGAAGAGCTTCCCAGAGCGCAGACGCTGCCAGGACACCAGAGACTACACTGGAGAGGCATCAAGCCAGCTTCTCGCACGAAGGAAGCACGCACAGAGGCATCACGTAGATGGTGGATCGGCGCGAGAGGCGACGGACGCGGCGCTCTAGTCCCCATCCCCTCTTTACTATATTGCGAAGGCCTTACGGCTGGTGCCGCCGACCCTGAGAACGACGAAGATGAAAACGAGGGGGGGCAGGGGGAGGAGGATGAGTGGGAGGTGGAGGAAGGGTGGAGGAAATGGATCAGGGAGGAGGAGGGGGGAGAAGGATGTGGAGGAGAAGCAAGAGGAGAAGCAGGCAGAGGAGAGCAGGAGGAGGGGGAGCAGAGGGGGGGGGAGAAGGAGGAGGAGGAGGAGGAGGAAGAGGAGGAGGCCAGAGGCTTTCTTGGGACAGCCTGAGGCTTTCTTGAGGCCGTCTTGGGTCGTCCAGGGCTTCTCTTGCGCCGTCTGGAGGCACTCTTGGATGCCTCCTGGGCAATTTGGGGCTCTCCTGGGCTGTCTTGGGGCAATATTGGAGGCTTCTTGGGCAGTCTTGGGGCTTTTTGGGGCTCCGGGACTCCCCGGGGGGGGCGTCGTATCTGACCCCCCCCCCTTCCCCCGGGAACCCCCCACGGGACCCCCCCCGGGGACCCCGGGACCCCTCCCCCCCGGCAGGGGAGGGATCGAAGGGAAGCCGCTTCCCTTCGACTCAATTTCGACGTTGCTCAACTTCGCTTTGGCTGGCGCGCTGAGGAGGCCCTTGGGAAAGGGGGGAGCTTCGACGAGCCCAGGGAAAGGGGAAGGCAGGGAAAGGGGACGACAGAGACGACGACCAACGAATGACGGAGATGGCGACTTGAGCGGACAAGCCCCTCACACACGCCAACAGGGTCGGCGGATCTCGTGGAAGCAAAAAGACGACCCAAGATGCCTCCAAGAGCACTCCAACAATGGCCTCAAGATGCAACATGCACAGCTTCCGTAGCCATTTCGGCTCAAGCCATTTCGGCTCAAGCCATCAGTCTGAGCGTGCCGCCTGTCGTCTCGCTGCTCATTTTTCTTTGAGACCGATGCGCTCGCAAGTGCTCGCCAGTCCTGAAACAAACATGGTGTTCTGCATCTCTGTTTGCTCTCCTCTCCTTGTTTTTTTGTGTTCGTGAAGTATGGCGCCTGCAAGCTCGTCAGTTCATGGGCGTCCGGGTTTGTTTGCTATCGACAGTTATGGTACAATGGGTCCGTACCGTTGTTATGTTTGAGCGAGAACATGGAAGGTGTTCGCAATGTAACTGGTCTAAGCACTCAGGCATGGCCACGACCGCTCACAGTTTTCTACCATGTGTTTCAAAGCAGTAGCGAGGAAAGTGCCGACGCTTTGACAACTTCCGTGATCAAAGAACAGTTGTCCGCGATGCGGTCTTCTAATGTTTTCGGCCAAGGCGTGAAATTGATGTGGACGTTCATCGGCCCTAGGGACAGCGGCGTGGCAGCATTGCTCGAATGTCCCACGTGCCAGTTGCTCGAGTCGTCTCCGACTGGGAACGAGATTGTTACACTGCAGCACCTGTACGACTACTGCTTAAAGCACCACTCTGAGCGTGTGGTGTACATGCATTCCAAAGGGACTTTCCATCCAGGTCGGGTGAACGACAATAATCAGGCGATTCCTCCTGAAGGGAAAATCTGGTCCGATGCGTGCCATTCTCAGGACATGCTCAAAGAGTGCACCGCGCGTGGCAGCCGCTTCGGTCCTATGCCGTACCATCGCTATCCAGGGAACATGTGGTTGGCCAGATGTGATTATGTCTCCCGCCTGAGTCCGCCCTTGAAGTCTGGGTCGGCCATGGCGTCGGCGGTGCGGGCCGCCGATGAGAAAGGCCTGCTGCCTGGCGGCATAACTTAGGAGGAGGGAGGAGGGAGGAGGGAGGAGGGAGGAGGGAGGAGGGAGGAGGGAGGAGGGAGGAGGGAGGAGGGAGGAGGAGGAGGGAGGAGGGAGGAGGGAGGGAGGGGGGAGGAGGGAGTCGGATCGGTTCTCTGCGGAGCACTGGTTGAGCTCCCATCCGAGCCACGCTCCTTGCGACGTGTGCGGCAAGACCAGCTATACTTGGGGTGTAAAGCAAATGGATGAGTTTGAAGAGGAACACTCTGCGGTGTCCTGGGCCCCCGAGCTGCGCGCGAATCCGAGGCCAGATATGCCCCTTCTGTAAATATTGCGACAAAGTCAGATGCAATTTGACGGAATGGAGGTTATGGCGGCTTTTCGAGTGGAAGTTTTTGCACCCCGAGTCTCATCCACAGAAGGGCGCCTTGTGGAAGTATTACCGTGCAGGTGCTGGTGTATGCAGATGATGGGCGGTTAGCATCGACCCCGTGGTGGCATCGAGCCCCACCGTACAGGAGCAACCGGGCGTCAGGTGAGCATGAGATTCTGGGCGGCGCCTGCACCCTGTTCGGGCTCCCCCAAGACGGCCTGAAGAGAGCTTCAAGCAGCAACAAAAAAAACATACACAGTTTGTTCGTTGATTTCCCAAGGACTTTCGCTGTTCTGCATTTCCAGTTTCTCCACGCTTTACGGCGGCCCCAGAGGCCCTCAAGATCGCCCGAGACCGCCTCGGACGCTCCCAATCGGGTGCATGCAGTTCCAGGGGCCCAAGGCGGCACACGAGGCGCCCCAGAGGCGCCCGATGCGGCCCAAAATCAGCCCAACGATCCCCCGGCCCCCAAGACGATCCAAGAACGCTTGGAATCGTTAGCATGCTCCACACGTCCCGAAGGCCTCCCCACGACCTAATCGGCCTCCAGGGCGAGATAAGATACCTCCAAGAGCACTCTCACGAGAACCTTAAGAAATAGAATTCGTTGACTTCTTAACGAATTCTATTTCTTCAAATAGAATAGAATAGTACCGAAGATACAATAGTAATATAATGGAATAGAATTCGTTGGTTCGGAAAGAATAGATACAAGGACCGACGGCCGTTCCTGTCAATTGTGACGGCGTCGTCCACTCGACACAAAGGGCCGCTTGGCAACAGTGGCTGCTACTGGTTTTGGACAACCGTTGCTGTCCGGAATCGCACCCACTCGTTCTGCGTCCACCCCGGACGTCTATTTTCTGGGCGCGCGAGCCTTGCCCGTGCGGGCGCCGCGACCCGCCCCTTGGAGCATCTGCCCTCCGCCATGGCAGCACCTACGCCGCGGAGGGGGGGAGGGGGAGGGGGGCGAAGGGGCGAGAGGGCAAGCCATGGGACCAGGAGAATACTAAGGCGATCGCGGGGGCGTCTCCAGCGATCCAGTTTGCCCCGCTTCCCTTTTGCTTTCTATAGGCGCACTACAGCGCTGGGGAACACATGTTTTAAGCTGTCTCCCCAATACTTTGTTATACACCGTGCACTGCCGCCAAAGGCCGCAGCGCCTTTCACGCAGTAGTGTCCCGCCTCTGCAGCCGAAGGTTGCAGTTTAGCAATTTCCAGCGCACCGCGACGTCCTGAAAAAAAAAAAAGGATAATACTAAGGCGAACCAGGGCAGAGGTTCTGCAGACTGACTGGAGGCTCGGGACAACGTCCAATTGTGGGTTGTTCACAACCTGTTCCTGCTGTATCAGACTGCAGCGCGTACCCGTAGATTTGGTACCGCGCCCAGGTTTCTGGCTGGATAGAGAGGGCAGGAGGGAGAAGGTTAAGGGGATGCACATGATGAGACGGTGGAGGATGGATTTGGACACGTCGTACTATGCAAGTGACAGCGGAACTAGAACTTGGCGATTGGCCATGGTTGCCCTTTTTGGTTGCCGGCCGCGGAGGGGCGGCTCTGTCTGGGTTCATCTGCAGGCTGTTGATCTTTCACTTGCTCTAGAGGTCGCGATGGCGTCACAAAGCAAGTACAGCTCGAACTCCAAGCGCGCGTCGGGTTGCTGCAGCGATGCCTCTAATCACCTACTTCATTGCTTGATTACTTGATGCTGGCCTTGCAGCTCACCGCGGCGTTACTCGATGCGAAGGCATTGCATATTTGAGTCGTATGTTCGGCGCCAATACCGAGCTTCTGCTACAGATGTCACATAACTTCGATGAGAGGACGGGCGTCGCGGGGCCGAGCCAGAGAAAAAAAAAATAGAATTCGTTGACTTCGTTGATTGTTTCGTGAATTCCCTACCTAGGCTCTGCCTGCAAAGGGTTCTTACTTTATTAGCCTAAAGGGGCCGGGCAGTGTAAACCGCCCCGGGCGGTTCCCCCGGCATCCGCCCCGCGGTTTCCCCAGTGACGTTCCCTTAGCTTAGTGTTGCTTATCTTATTTTAGCTTATTTTTTGAGTGAGAACTCTTGAGTAACATTCCTGCAGGAAGACTTTGTTTATTCATGTTCTCTTAGTGAGCATTATTTAGTCAGGGTTTCTTAGTGAGGGTTCTGGATTAAGGTTCCTAGCATGGATTATGTAGTAAGGGTTTCTCATAAAGGAATTCCTGACACACATTGTCTTTGTCAGGATTCTTGGGTAAAGGGTTCCTTCGTAGGGATTCTTCATTATGGGTTTACTACATGCCGAGCTTGCGTGGGGGCGACATGGCCTGAGAACTTTCGGCGCTTGCAGGCGCCTTAGCCTCGTCGATGGGATCTGGCAATCGGATCCATTCCTATCGGAGGCTGGCCTGGAAGCCGGTGCGATGCGATGTTGTGCTTCCCCCCCCACCCTCCCCCTTTCCCCAGAGGGGGCGTCAGAAACCCCGCGTACCTTCTGTGGGGAGCGACGGGGAAACTCGCCCCATCGGAAAGGGGCTCAGAAAGCCGGCGTTCCCTTGAATATTCATTACCAAGT